GCGGCCGCGAGGCGCCCGGGCAAGGCGGGCGAGAGACGGGGGACACGGAGACCAGGAACACCGAGGCGTGTGATCGGCGGGAGCGGTGGCGAGATATGGTCAGGGACCGATCTTCGGCATGCCTCGCCCTCTTTTTTCCTCCGGGCGGAGTGGTGTGCTTTTTGAGAGACCCCCCCCCCCCCCCTCTCCACCCATGCCACTCCCTGACCATGAGTCTCGCGCGCATCCTCCCCTGCACTGCTGGCTTCCTCTTCTCCTCCTTACCCCGTCTTCATGCCAGCCTACCTGCCCTCTCGCCCCCCTCCCCCCCACCCCTCCCGTCTGCTGCGAGCATACGCACCCACATATAGCTTGTCGGCCCGCTGGGACACGGCCAGGCCGGCGATGTTGACCTGCTCGCTCTCGGTGCCTGCGGGTGCCGGGCCGGCTCCCGACCACCAAGACCAGCTCTGGTGCCCGGGTCCGACCGGCGAGTGTGGCGGGCTGCGTGCAGGACTGGCTGGCTCGGAGCCAGGTCGGCTGCCGCCGGATCCGGCGGCCTGGGGACGCTGGGCCGCGGCCACCGCGGCGGCCGTCGCAAAATGCCGGTTCTCGGTTTCCTGAAGGTCAATCTCCAGTGGGCTGATGTCCACTTCGGACCGGGGGACAAGGCGCCGGCCCCCGGCAAGGAGGGGCGCCACGTCGTCCAGTTCGAAGTCCACCCCCGGGAAGTGCCGGGGTAGGAGCGGCGGCATCGGCCGCGCGTCCTGGTCTCTGAGGAGCATGGGCGAGGACGACCGGGCGCCGTCACCACTACCGGCCATGCCGCTGCTGCTGGCGGGCGCGATGGTACGCACCCCGCCCTCCGGGCCGAGGCGCAGGGGGGGGGCACTGTGCCGGCGCCGGTGGATGGCCAGCGTCTCGGAGGACGCCCGAGTCGGGGACTCCTGCAGCGGATCCACCCACTCCGGGACAAAGCGTCCACCACGCAAGGTCGGCACTCGTGGGTCTGCTGCTGCTGGGCCGCTGCCGCCAGCCGGCCCGGAGCAAATGTCCACCACCGTCTCTCGCGGACGCCCGTCGGCCGGCTGCTGGACGCCGGTCGGAGGGATGCCCCATCCACCGAGGCCGGAGCTGGAGCCCACCGGCGACCGGCCGGCCATCGGCCAGAGGGTGTTCCCCAGCCAGGAGGACCAGTCTTCCGGACCGGCGCCACTGCCCGTGCCAGCCGCCGGGCCTCTCGCTGCCCGGCCGGAGATCCCGTCGCTGGGGATGATCATCTTCACGCCAGGGGCCCAGTTGCGACGGCGGCACACCCGCTGCGCGGGGGGCGTTTCCCCCCGAGGCGAGGGGTATTGCTGCTGCTGCTGCTGCTGCTGCTGCTGCTGCTGCTGGGTCGATGGCGATCGGCTGAGGGTGTCGCTGCTTTCGGCGGCACTGCCACCCCCACCACCGCGCGCCAGGCGTCCAAACAGCGACGAAAGCGACTGAAAGTCCGGGTAGAAGCCCACCACGGGCGAAGCGGCGCCGGCCCCGGTGGCCGATGTCGCCCGCGGGCTGGTGGCCGCCCGGTGGGCATGGTCCCCATTCATGGCCCCGGCCATGTACTGGGACCCGATGCGGTCGTACACCTCCCACGAGTCGACCTTCGGGTCTTGGTGCCGTCGGGCCAGGTCACTGAGTGACATGACCGAGTTCCCGAGCTCCGAGGGGCCTGGCACTCGGAGAACCGTGGCATCGTTGTATGTCCGCGCGTCGACAACATGGACATGGCGCGTGTGCTCGGCGAAGACCAACAAGTCCGGGATGAAGGTCTCCGAGCCGACGTACTTGAGCGACCGAATGGCACCGCCTTGGCTGATGCGCTTTGTCGGGGGAGCCGGGGCGGCGCAGGGGGTTGTGGTTCGGGGGGAGGGGGGGGGGTGGCATGCGTCAGCAGATATGGTTGGTTGGTGCGCAAAGAAAAAATAACACCCGTGCCCCTTTTCCCTTCCACCATGACTTGCACCAATGTGAGGATACCGTGTTGGCAAAGTGTGTCCCGGCGCGCTCACTGCCTCCCCTTCCCCCCCCCCCCC